ACGCTTCAGAGCATAAAAGAACCAAAAAAAGCTTAAAAAAAGAGGGACTGGCTCTGCAAAAACAGAGCAGCACCCGTGGAGGAAAATTTTTTTGGGGGGAGGGGGAATGGAAGAGGGAGGAGAAGGTAGGAAAAAAAAAGGTGGTAAAGGAGAAAATCAAAAAGAAGGAGATGAGAGAAAAGAACAGAGAGCAAAAGTTAAAAAAACAGAAAAAGTGAAGGTAGAAAACTGGAAAGAGAACAGAGAAGAGAGGAGAGGAAGGGGGACGAAGAAGAGAGGGGGAGAGGGGACCAGGGAAAAAAGGAAGGGGGGAAGAAGGAGAAAAAAAAACAGAAAAAATCATAACAAAGAACCAAAAAGATGGAGGAGAACCCTGGCGGCGCTAGAAGAGAGGGGGGCTAGGGTTCAGGAAAAGAAGAGTCTTGTATGGATGCGGAGGCTTCAGTTGAAGTTCCATAAGGACTTTATTAACCACTCTCTATGACACTGCCCCCACTGTATCTGTAGCCAAAATGACGAGAAATTGCTTGACTAAAATAAAGAATTTTTATTTGATTGTGCAAATTTATTCATCATGTATAATTTAATTTTGAAAGGCTTGATTGGACGAATCAGAATAAGGGGATTTCAATTCTAGTCCAAAAAATTTCAAAATGAAAACTCCCAATTCCGTTCCAAAAAATTCCTGAATTTCAACATCCATTCCGATTCAGAAAACTCATCATTTTCAGAATATTTCAGAACTTACATATTTTGGGAACCAGTAGTTGACAGTCAAACTGTTATTATCATGTACTTTTTCTGAAAGCCATGATTTACGTAGACAACAAAGCAAAGCGAGTTAAGAGCAGAGAGAGATAAGTTACTGAGCAAATTTGTGTAAAAGAAAGAAGTTTTGCGTGAAAGTAGAATGGGGTGCCCTTGCGTATAAATAGTATGTTCCAACATTAGCCGACTCCACCAACATGGAATAGGTTTCCATCTACTTGTTGGAATAGGATTTTTATTTTTTATTTTTTTATAACAAATATATATCATTATAGAGTGTGAATCATGACAGAGCTTATCCGTATGTGGGTGTGATTCAAATTTGGTGGTCAAAATATTGACTTCATGCCTCATCCAGGTTTGGGGACCAAAATGACCCAAATTCAATCCAAATTACATTAGTACTGATACTGTCAGATAATAGTTTGATGCACCTAGATAATAGCTTGATTCCAGAAAAAACTTTGTTCCCTTCAAAATAATTATTTAGGTCCATGCATGTAGTTGTGGCTATTTGATACTATTGATTTGATTTCTGAGCACATGCCCTAATTGCGTGACTTTGTTTTTCCTTTTCTTTTAATTAAGTGTGCGCAAGACACATTTTGCGTATGCTAATATATATTATTAAGGTCATCAACTAGCAATTAGTTTACTGTTCTTATTCTTCTACAATTTCATAAGTTGTCCCAAGTTCGATTTTCAAGGCCTGCAAAGATATAGCAATTTTATTTTAGGGCAATGATTTCCCCACTCCTATTTTATCCACTTACACTCCTTTTGTAGTTATAAAAAAGGAGTGTAAGTGGATAAAATAGAAGAAAAAAGAGTGGGGAAATCACCACTCTTATTTTATACAGAACATTCGAGTCTCTTTCAATTATGTAGGAAGTTTGTTACTTGAGCCTAAGGATCTAAAATATAATGAAAAGGGTAAAGTGTTATTGCACCGCATGAGCTTCCTCGTTGAGATCTCCTCCAAATCCACATCAAGAAAAAATGGCGTGAAAGGTGTAACACCCCATCATGACTAATTATTTCATTTTGCGAAGTTACATTTTTGCTCTTGAACTAAGGTATTTTGGTCAGTTTTTATTTGGAAATAGTTTTGGAAATTAGAGTTGCACCATTTTATAGAGCTCGCTCTCACAAGTTCGTAGACATGTAGTAGGCTCAAATTGGCTTTTTAACAAGGAAATTGTGGTCAACAGAGTGCAGTGGCACAATTGAAATTTTTGGAGCAGTCAAAATTTAAAAACCCAAGGTCAGACTCTCCCACACCTTCCTCTTTTGATTCCCCACGCCTGTCTCTTATAGTTCCCAAGTCTGATCAGTTTTCATTTCAAACTCCTACACAATTATACCATTCTCTTCCGAAAGAATTCTCTCCCAACTCCTCAAAAGTTCCAAACCTGTCAATCTAGTTGACTGCTTCAAAACCCCTCTCCTGAACTCAAAACGAAATTTCTTCTTCTTCAAACTTGTTCCTCTGGTTGTCTAGTAGGAACATCCGAACATTAGCCCAATCCAAGAAATATAATCACCCGAAAAACTGGTTTACTTTGTGTTATGCACGGATTTGGCTTTTCATTTGAGTTTCCATTGCTCTTTTCACCTAAGTCCTTCGCACAAGTTGTTTCTAAGGTCGAGAGATACAACATATCCAAAAGGCAAGACCATTGAGGTCTTTAATCAGCTGAAATCGTATTCAAAGTGAGACTAGTTTTCTCATACTTCCTATCTGCTGGTTCCACTTTATTGTTAACTTAGTCACTCTTGCATAGAGCTTTCCCATGATCTAATGACCCTTCATGAAAGTTGTTTTTCTATGTCTTGGCTATAATCTATCAAACTTTGAGCTTCATCCAAAAAGTATAGCCATCCAAACATTCTATAGGAGTGTAACATGTTCATCCTTGTCTGTTGTGTTGATATAGGCTCGGATTTTGTCTTGCATGTCGATTTCCCTTGCTCAGATGAGAAAGTTTCCTTTACAAAAGTCTTTGAGAATTTTGTTCTCTACAACATATCCAAAATACATAGTCATCCAGCAAGTTTAGCCCTCTCGGAAGGGTTACAAAATGAAACAAGCTTCTTTGTTTCCAAGTGCTATTTTGGTGGTTGTTCTCCTTTGGGGGAGGATTTCAGACCAATTCAGAGGATTGAGGTAAATATTTAAGATTTTTTTATTTCTAGAAATATGTTATACAGGTTATATTCTTGAGGTTTTGAATTGATGAGTTGTTTCAAAGTTAAGTGGAATTGTGAACCTATAAGAATGTCCGGATAAAAGATCAAAGGCTGTAGGTCCCGAGTGTCCAGTTGACCTAGATAGTGGGCCACGTTGACTTGGTTGACTAGATGTCTTCTGAAATCGTCTTGGCCTTTAGCACTACAAGAAAAAATGTCAGTAGTGACCAATTTCCTTATGACCACATGAATAATGATCACAAATACAGTGAATTTTAATGACTAATAATACTACATGGTAACTAAAATGATTGACCCCTATTTTTTAATTTTTAATGACCAAATTTTATGACCAGTATTTAAATTAGTCACTGAAAATAACTTAAATTATATAGTTAGTGACGAACACATAAGTTAGCCTTACTTCTCTAATTTAATACATCAGTGACCAATTAACCTTGTTTAAACTTTTTTATTTTTCAAAACACGCTCGCATACCACATCAAAAACAAAACAAAAAAGACGAAGAATATCATAGGGAGCGCGTGACCAGAGCGAGAGATCATAATGAGAAATCAGAACAAGCTAGATACCAGAGCGAGCTAGATGTCTCCTGAAATCGTCTTTTCCCCTAGAACACTTGGCACAACCTCGAAAGGTTTTCCTTAGGGTTGTGCACACACACTAACTGTTAGTATCATGCGTGAGTGAGTGATGATATGAGGGAAGTTGTTAAGCGCATGCAACTTCAAAGTACAAGAAGTTTCTTTTTTATTTTTCATTAATATTATAAAAAGTTTGACCTAGACTATCAAAATTAATTGCAAGTACAAATTACACCATTGTTTAGTTTTGTTGGTTTTAGTATTCCAACAACTTAAATTGATGAGAGAGAACTTGTGTGATAGACATCAAGAGAGCATACAATGAAGTTTATTTCTGCGTAGGTGCGACTTAGTTTAATTTTCATCATGTACACAGTGACAAATATAAACTGACAAATATAATTTTAAACAATATATTCAAGCCATGAATCCAATCCACATTAATTGAATGAAAAACATTAACATCCCCAACTATACACATCTCTAAAATACAAATCCCAAAAGAGTAGATAACACAAACATGGTGGCCCCCAACTCAAGTTTCGAAAAATGAAGAGCATGACCACTGCTTAGGGCCGAGCTTGGCGACATCTCTTCAGAATCAGAGGATCCGTAAGGTGTTGGGCTTGGACTTATAAATGAGTCATCTGGTGTAGGTACGGTAGCCGTGATCTCAACCCTTTGTCCGGCTAGACAATGACCAGGAGCACCACACAAAAAGTAAAAGTTGCCAGGCCCATCAAGGGTGATGTTGTCAGATCCTGATGTATAGACTGCGACTGGAGAGGTAGGGTTGCAAGATTCATAATCTTGGTCAGTAACTCGCATCACGTTGTGAAATTGATTGTTATAAGAAAATATGAGTGTGTCGCCAACATGGAAGTCTTTTGTTGAAGTCCACTCGTTGTAATCAACGAGGCCTCTAGAAGACCACCCACTAGAGTCACCAACTCTATACACAGCACCAAAACAAACACCACATAAAGCAAGCATAACCCAGAAAATCAGTGTACTTTTTTCCGAAGCCATGAGTAGACAACAAAAAGGAGAGCGGTAAAGAGCAGAAAAGGATCAAGTGATTGATCAAATTTGTGTTAAAATGAACGAAGAGCTTACTGAAATTTTGCGTGAATGTAGAATGGGATGCTCTTGCTTATATATACTAGTGTATCTACTAGCCGACTACAACATGGAATAGGGTTTCCAACTACTATTGGAATATGATTTATTTCTTTTTTTCACAACACAGTTAATTAGAAAGTTCGAATGGCCCAAACCCAATCCAAATTGAATTTGTACTAATACTGTCAGATAATAGCTAAATTTCAACTAAGAATTTACAGATCAAGTTATATTTACACCCATGCCATGGTGCTTCTTGCACATCTGCATCACCCGTCAATTGAGGCCCTTTCTCTTCCTACATCTCGAGTCCAAGATATAACCGCTTTGTACTCTGAAAAAAAATATAGTTTTGCTCGCAAGTCATTTCTATGTATATGCTTTCTTCTTTTTTTTCTTAAACTTTTTGGTTTTCTATCACCTCCTCTTTTATAAATTTTTATGGCATGTTTACTTATAAATAATCGATCAAGTGTGCAATCCTCAAAAGCTTGCAAATTAAGATCATACACAAATCGCGGTTGTTGCCATGCCCCGATCATGGTTCTAGTGAAAGGATTTAATGACGGAAAAAATGCATTGATCAATTGTTATGAAAATACATGTTTTGAATTATCTAATAAAATTAATCAACACCTTGAGGATTTGGAATAGTGCAACTTGTCTCAAAGTGAAAGAAACATATGGTCAGGGGCTTGAAACATATATTTGTTGTAGCCAAAATGCCAAGAAATTGCTTTATCTGAAACAAAGAATTTTTATTTGATTGTGCAATTTTATTCATATCATGTATAATTATGAAAGATTTATGTCCTTTGAATGGCAATTTAAATACAAAAGCAATGTCAAGGAAAATACAATCGCCAAAGTTAAAAGAACAAAGACCTCAATTTGGGTTACGAATAGTACAATTCTCTAGAACAAACCGATTTAAGCCATACATATATGTTCATATATTGTTGAAGTTAAATTCTTCCTTGCAACTGTGAGAAGTACAAGAATTTTTTTTTTCTTTTTGGCAGACCCAGACTATCTAAATTTGTCAGTTCTGGTTAATTTAGTAGAGGTCTCTAGCATCGACGAGAGAGATTAATTGTATGACGAAAACCTACTAAGCATATGTTGGAGTATATTTTTGGTCGATTTAGTTTAATTTTCCTGTACAATTAGTTTCCGCTGTGACGCAGAGATACAAACCAAAAAGAAGAAACCATATAAATTGACATATATATAATAATATCAAACAATTTATTCAAAAAACTATGTTATACATCAAACCATTAAAACTACATCTCACCTACCTCATGAAATGAAAGAAACATTAACATCGATACATGTTTAAAATACAAAACCCAAAAGAGTAGATAACACAAACATGGTGACACCCAACCCAAGTTTCGAAAAATGAAGAGCAGGACTAGTGCTTAGAGCTGAGCTTGGTGACAGCACTTCAGGATGAGAGGTTGAAGGTGATGATCCATAAGGTGTCGGGGTTGGACTTGCAAATGAGTCATCTGGTGTAGGTAGGATGGCCGTGATCTCAACCCTTTGTCCGGCTTGACAATGGCCAGGAGCACCACACATAAAGTAAAAGTTGCCAGGTCCTTCAAGGGTGATGGTGTCAGATCCGGAGGCATAGACTGCGACCGGAGAGTTAGGGTTGCAAGATTCGAAATCTTGGTTAGTAACTTGCATCACGTTGTGGAATTGGTTGTTGTAAGTAAAAATTAGGGTATCGTTGACATAAAAGTCTTTTGTTGAAGCCCACTCATTGTAATCAACAAGGCCTCTAGAAGTCCACCCATTGGAGTCACCAACTCTATACACAGCACCAAAACAAACGCCACAGAAAGCCAGCATGAGCAAGAAAATCAGTCTACTTTTTCCCAAAGCCATGAGCAAACAGCAAAGGAGAGCAAATTAAAGAGCAGAGAGAGATTAAATTCATGTAAAAGGAATGAAGTATATAGCTGACAGAAATTTTGCGTGAAAGTAGAATGGGGTGCCCTTGCATATAAATAATGTGTGCATCTATTAGCCGACTCCAACATGGAATAGGTTTCCAACTACTTGTTGGAATGGGAATTTTTATTTTTATTTTTCATAACCGAGTTAAATTAAAAAGTTCGAACAACAACCCAGTTTATCCGTATTCTTTTTTAGGAAGACTTCTCTATTAGTCGTATTCTCAATCCTCTTGAACTGAAGCTTCACCCTCCCCATTCCTTCAATTTATTCCTAAACTAGCTTCTACAGTTTTTTTAGCTCTTGTAAACCTTTCCATTTCTATTTTGCTATTTTGGAAAACCTAGAGCTAGCTACTTGTATAAGAAAGTAATCAATATGATGGAGAAATATGATGAATATTTCCCTCTCATCATTCACATAATAACTCAAGATACAATTACATGGATGAATAGAAGTTAGGAGAGAAAACTAAAGGAGAAAGATATGGAGCAAAATCTTACCAGACACACACAGATACACATATCAAATTAAATATATTAAGCATAACAAACATTTTGTTCTTGAGAATAATTTATTTTGTTTATTTTGCTTGATTTATTAATAAATTGCATTTTTTATTATTTAATTATTATAAATATGTTAGACCCATTAAACATGAAAATTTATTGTATAGAGGATTTCTAATTATTGATTAATTTGATTTTATATTTATCAAAAGGCTGAAAGCTTTCATTGTCAACCACTTACAAAACTAGATTGTCAAGATATAATGGTGCCCTCATGTGGGCATATGCCCATATAGTTGTTGCTATTTTTCACTTGAGCCAAGTTGTTTAAGGACCTAAAATACATTAAAAAAATATAAATTAAAAATTAAAAAAGAGAGCTATATCAAATTAGGATCCCTTTGTGTAATTAATTCCTTGCATGCATACATCCATAGACACTGCAGAATGAACTGGTATCACAAAAATAGAAAAATTAAACGAAAAGAAAAAAAGAACCCAACAGTTGAGTTTGAGCTGTTTTAGGTTTTGAATGAATCCTATAGCCGAACATTTAATCCGTATAGCCGAACGGCTATACTGTCGAAAAATATTATATTTAAATCATATAGCTGCGCTCGGCTGTACTATTTTTAAATAAAATATAAATAAAACCGGCTGAAAGCTTTCATTGTCAACCACTTACAAAACTAGATTGTCAAGATATAATGGTGCCCTCATGTGGGCATATGCCCATATAGTTGTTGCTATTTTTCACTTGAGCCAAGTTGTTTAAGGACCTAAAATACATTAAAAAAATATAAATTAAAAATTAAAAAAGAGAGCTATATCAAATTAGGATCCCTTTGTGTAATTAATTCCTTGCATGCATACATCCATAGACACTGCAGAATGAACTGGTATCACAAAAATAGAAAAATTAAACGAAAAGAAAAAAAGAACCCAACAGTTGAGTTTGAGCTGTTTTAGGTTTTGAATGAATCCTATAGCCGAACATTTAATCCGTATAGCCGAACGGCTATACTGTCGAAAAATATTATATTTAAATCATATAGCTGCGCTCGGCTGTACTATTTTTAAATAAAATATAAAAAAAACCCGCGCATAGCCTATACTATGTTTTTAAAAAAAAAAAAAAAAACCCGGTATAGCCGCACGGCTATACTGTCGGAAAATATTATATTTAAAGTGTATAGCCGGTCGGCTATACGATTCTTAAAAATAAAATAAAAACCCAGAGTATAGCCGACCGGCTATACGCTTCATTAAAAAAATAAAAAACCTGAGTATAGCCGCGCGGCTATACAATTTAAATACCCTTTTTTTCTATTATTTTTTCTTTTCTGTGATTTTCGTTTATCAATAAAAGTAGTTTAGAGCATTATCCATTACTATTAGTCCATTACTCGAGTCTCTATTATCCCCTTTTTAGTTTTTACTTTTCCAAAGTTTTTAACCATATAAAGTATTTAGCATTTTCACGTTTAATACTCGTATTATATGCGTATATACATATTTTTCAAGAATATTTTCATTTTACGTACACATCCTAAAGATTCGATAAAATACACATTTTTTTTAAAAGCAAACATATAATACACGTTTTGTATACATATGTACATATTTTTTATTTTTAATACAAGTGTTTTTTACAAAATTTTCAATAATACACACAAATTCAAGTATTATACACATAATTCTCGCATATTATTGATTAAAAATAATATTTATGAAATAAATTAAATAAAATTATCATATAGTGACCTAACTTTTTAGTTGTAACTTGCCAAAATTTTGTTAAATAAAATTCGCTAAGATTATTTCTTCCTTGTTGTAACAAAAGTATGAGATGGTGATTTTTCAATCTCTTTGCAACCAAGAACGACAATTTTAAACAAAGATTTGTTGGTATAGTAGTAAGTGGGAGCTGTTCTGGGTTTTGAATGAAAGTGTAGTGGAGGTTAAGAGTGGTACTGTGAGTTGTTTTTTTTTAATTTTTTTTTCCTTGACACTCATATTATATAATACGTATGTATTTCTTTTCCTTGAGTATAGCCGCGCGGCGGTACTCAGAATTTTTACCTGCAAAAAAATTTAGTATTTTCCCATTTAATACTCATATTATATAATACGTATGTATTTTTTTTAATAATATTTCTATTTTTGGTCAAGGCTACAAATATATATTAGTTAACTGAAAACGAAGAATGATTATTTTTTCAATCAATGTGTATTTATTTACCCTATATAATTAAATTTTTCAAGGGTTAACTTAATTCTTTATTGAAATTACACATTTTTAATGTGCGCGAGTGAATATGAAGTTCTATTATGTATTCTCCCACTCACGTTATGATGACAACTCTCAACTGCTTTCACAAAAGAAGTTCATTTCTTTTTCTTTTCTTTTTCCATGAAGGACCAAAAGGCTTT